CTTGATACCCCCCTTGTGACATCTATCGCATGCTCGAGTGATTCTTCGACGTTTCAACGCGACAGACTCGGGACCCGGTGTGGTGTGGTTCGAATGGGTGACCAACGAGTCTTGATTGCTCATGATAAGTCCAGAGTCAAGGAGAAGAGTTGGAATTGTTATGAGATTGAGAAGAGTGGGGAGTGAGAGACAGAGAGGGAGAGATGATGCTGGTGAACCCTGAGTTTTACCGTTCTCGCTGCCAATCAATTTTCCCTTTTTCCCGTCCAATCTTATCCCAACAACAACAAACAACAGAAGGTCGACTCATCGCGCTCTCAGACCGTCTTTCCATCCCAATGCCACAGGAGACATCGCTCAGTGTATGATACAACGACTCTGCACTGTACATAGGGTCAAGCTACATGCAAAACTTGACCATCGCTCGCTTGAACCCCAACAACGCTTCTCTTACTACCCACTCTACCCCTGGAACCTCAACATCTTGTTCTCCTCCTGCCTCGTCATTCCCTTGACATGACCCAGGAACAGCTTTTGGTTCACTCCCATCTTCTCCTTCGGCGTCGAGCCGATACGATGCTTGAACGCCGCAATGACCTCTCCCATTGGCACAACCTCCTTGTTCTGCGACTTGAACCACTTGTATACCTCTTGTCGGGTAATCATGCCCGGGAACGGCTCGATTTCTTCGGGCTGAGGCGTCGGTGTGGAGCTTCCAGGTCGTTTCGTCTTCTTGGGACGAGCAGCGTCATCGCCGGGTGAGGTCTTTCGCTTGTTTGCATTGGAAGGGCCTGGAGAAGAAGCATTGACGCTGCCGGAAGGCGTCCCAGCGGGCTGAGGGGACGCTGTCGGCGTTTTGCGTGCAATCTTGCCAGTCGTGCCTCCCTTGACCGGTTTGGCAGGCGGTACAGTGACTGGACTGCCCTCTCTGCCTGGAGCTGGGCTCCCGCCCCGGGCTGAGACTGGGCTACTTCCACGCATCGATCCGGTTTCCGGCGACTGTGCGCGACCCAGCGGCGAGCCTGTGCGGTGCCGAGGTGAAGCCGCTCCGCCAGTAGCTCGTCGAGCGACAAAGGCAGCTCCCGCACCTGGCGGCGCAGCCTGCGCATTACCAGAGGGAGGAGGGGTGCTTCGGTGAGGTACAGGGGAAGACCCGCGATGAGACGGCGGACGAGAGACAGGTCGAGACGGACGTTCTGCGGATCCTGGCACAGACTTGATAGCCTCCGCTTCTTCTTTCGACTTGTCCACGCTCTTCTCCGACTTGACAGTTTCCGCTTCGCTGTCCGTGTCGGTCTGAGGTCAGCGATGTACCGACAACCATAACATGAGGATGACTCACGTCAGAGTCTGTGCCATAAAAGTCGTCCGGCCGTTCTCCCCGCTTGCGCATCATCCTGCGCAGTCTTTTCCCTTGGTCATTCAGCTTCTCACCAAACAGATCCTCGTCCGAGTCCTCGGTCTCCTCAATTTGCGGCCGATCGCCCACGGTAGCATTGGCCAACTTGAACTCTTTCTTCAATCGTTCCTGCCCGTCAGCGTCCGGCCGGCGACCGAACCACTCTCCCGCTCACCTCGATACGCTTCTGCTCCTCCTCTTCCTCCTCGTTTCGATGGAATGTATTGTTGTCGTCATCATCCTGGAAGTCTTCGTTAATGTCGTAATCCAATTCTTCGTCCTCGCCACCTTCCATTCCCTGACATGAGCTCCGACTGTCCAATCCCTCAGACATACCCGCTCCATCTGTCTGCCTTCCCGCTTCGCGTCGTCTTCAAAGCGCTCTGCTTTGATGTAAGGTTTTCGCTCCTCGCCGTTGGCCATGCGCATATGTTGCTCCAATCTCTGTGCTCGAGCTTCCTGACGAAGGACGCTGTAACGGTTGACTGCGTCGGCCGCGGTGGTTGGTCCGCCTTGTCGATATTCCCATCTGTTCTGAAACTTGTGCTTGGTCTGGTACTCGAACTAGAATGTCAGCGTCGTGCCGGCTGAGACCGAATTCAGGCAGGAAACTACCGACTGACCGCTTTCTGAGCCGCGTCGGGATCCAAAGGGGTGAACGGTCGAGCAGGATCAAACTTGTACGTCCTTCCCAGAGGCACGACGTTGAAACCTCCCGCTCCCGAGTCCAACAACAAGACGGTGGCCATGTTGGACGGTTGAAGCATCGTCCCGACCCATCTATCGGCGATCTTGTTATGATCCTCCCCCGCCCTCCCGTTCTCCGTCTTCACGCCCGAAGGTCCAGCTTCGCTCTTGACCCCATTGGCATTGTCGACTTTGGGTCGACCTGACTCGAGCACCCACGGATCGGCCTCTTCTCGACGCAGTTTGACAGCTTCAATATCGGCATGGTACACCTCTCTGATGGCCTTTCCCCTCCGCTTCTTCTGTCCAGTCGCCCCGCCGACCAGGTTGTGGTCGCGACTCACAGTCCGCTCCACGACATGTTGCCCTTCTGCATCAAGCACCGGTTTGCCTTCATTGTCATAGACGTATTTCCCAATCACATTGCCATCCTCATCCGTCGCTACCGTCGGCAGAGTCGGCCCTCCCCGAGGTTTACGGTTCATCAAGATGGGACTGGGAATCTGGCGGGGGTCGACGTCTTGAGCCGTATTCATCCGGATGATGTTATACCTCGTCCCGTTCAGATCACCAAAGGAGAACAGTGGGAGCTCGATGGCCTTCGCCGGGTCATAACCCGGAGGAAGATCTTCCGAGGGCGAGTCGGATGACAAACCCGAAGGCAGTCCGCCAGCGGGGGATGAGGCAGCTGTAGGAGGACGCGATGGGCCGGATTGCGAGGACGGTCCGCCGTTCGCTACTGGCCGGGCTGTGCGCGCAGACGGAACTCGCGATTGCCCTGCTGGCGTCTTTTTTTTCTTTGGTAGAAAGACGCTCATGGTGCTTAGAGCGTTAACGGAGGGGGAGAATGGAGGCGAGTTGAGGGTGTCAGAAGGAGTCGAGGGAGACTCTGGAGATATCTAGCGCCTAACACAAGCCAGCCATATCGCATGCCTAAATTCTAAGCTGAGAAATAGGCTCGCAGTCATGACTCGGTGGCAAGGTGATGTATCTTCTTCGTCTCGTCGCGACTTGACAATACCTCTCTGAAATCACATACTGCTCATCTCCACCATGGCCGAGAAAGCAATCGACGGCATGCTCGCGAAAAATGCGGCGGACCTCGCAAAGGAGCAGGAGGTGAGTCGGCGCTGTTTCGCCTTCTCGGCTCGCGGTGTTAACCACCAGGTCATGCGCATCATGAAAGCGTTCAAGCTCAAGTACGTTGCCCCTTCTTGCTGCCACTCGTTCCCAGACCCAGCACTCACCTCTCCAGCCCTTATGATATTCTCGACCTTCCTGTTTCAGCGGCCGATGCGGACATCAAAAGGCAGTACCGTAAGAAATCACTGATGATTCACCCGGACAAGTTCAAGCACGAAAACGGAATGGAGGTGAGTTGAGAATCGTCTGCGCCTCGATCGTACATGCTGGGCTGACACTTTCTCTCTCTAGGCATTTGACTTTTTGAAAAAGGTTGGTGGTATTCACCCCTAGCTCCCGAGGACAAAACTGACGTCTACCCGCAGGCTGAGGGACAACTTCTCGATTCTTCGTCGCGAGCTGAAATTGACTCTATCATGAATCTGAGTCGTACTGAAGTACTCAAAAGGTGCGTGTCACATTGATCAAGCACTCAGCTTGGGGGGGACCATGCCAAAGGACGCTTTTCTTGAGGTGCAGTCGACTGACAAGCAGTATTCTCGGAGCAGGTTACTCGACCGGCATCCCAGATACAGACCCAAGATTGCAAAATCTCTCTCCGAGCTACGACAGCCGGATCCGCGCCAAAGCAAAGGAGATCTTCGTAGAGGAAGAGCTCAACAAACGAAGGTACGTCGTTCTCTACGCAGCCATGCCACTTATCCCCAAGGCCTGCGTATCGCTGGCTCCTAACTCGGTGGTGAAAGGGACAATTCTGACATTGCAGAAAGACCAAAGTCGCGTTCGCCAACGAAGGAGCGGAAAAGGCAAGACTAGAGGAAGAGATCGCAAAGCGGAAGCGAAAGGCCGAAGAGCAAGCAAAATGGGAAGGTAAGCTTTAATCCCCCTTCCCGCCCACGCTCTCCCTTCCTCACCTGCTTCTCCGCTCGAGAGCCTGTTGGCCGTTTCTCACGTCTTGCACACAGGTATAGCAAGTGTCGGCGGACTATTCGGCTGCTGCGGACGACGAGATGCTAGACATCTCCACAGCCCGCTCCATCTCCTCGCTTTCCCTTTTTTTCGTTTCGATGGTAGAGCATGCTGACACATACAGAACGCCGTGAGGAGCGAGTCAGCACGTGGCGAGACTATACCGCGAAGAAGTCCAAAAAGCCCAAAAAGACGCATGTCCTGGGCTAGTCATCGCAAAGGCAGGGTGAGCAGATGATACTTCGAATCGCGGCTTGTTAGTCTCTCACCAAGGGTGTCTCGAGCCTATACCCTCATCTCTTTCCTGTGTAATATATCCTTCATGGGCACACTTGTATGTATTCCGTGTTTCTCGTCGTCATATGGTAGACCTAAGAAAGAATTGCACTCCCTTGGGACACTTTGATCACTCGAATTCCACACTGGTCTCCTCCGTATTCGTAGTCGCGTGTCCGGGAGTGCTGCATCAGGCACCCGGTGAGCTCCCTGAGACTAATCAGATCTGTGCAGGAACTCAAACAGGCAAGGGCTCCTCGGAAAGCTGAAATGAACGAGATTGAGGGAAGGTGATCATCCCTTTCACATTTGCGCGCGGGAACTCATGACAAGACCGCATGAGAGCACGAGCATTGGGTTCGGCAAGCGGCTCTTAGTCTATTATGCTACACGCGCCATAAACCACCCACTTCTATCCTCATGTATTGATCTGGTATCATCTGTGTGGGTACGGATTGTTCGTCTACCCATCTGGGGAGCGCCAAAAACAATTTTCGAACCGGTTTGGGCCAAACGCAAAAAGTAAAGCCTTCAGTGGGGCTCGAACCCACAACCTAGCGATCAAGGTGTAATCGTAACCGATTATCCCATAAGAGTCGCTCGCTCTACCGATTCGAGCTATGAGGGCTTGTTTTCCTTTGTTCCCTTTGCTTTATAAGCCCAGATACACAATTGACACCATTTTCTTCTTCAGCCTGTGTGCCGGTTCTCCGCTGCCAGGAGGGTACCAAAAGAACCGTCGACAAGCTCGTTTGCGGCGAGCATCCTTTTCATAAATCCCCTCTGCTACTACTTCTGAACAGACTACGATCTGGTGGGCTGGACAGAGCTCAGCTACGTTCTCGGCCTGCCCACATCACGTTCAATTTGCGGGACCCTTTGTCCTTGTAGTCTCGAAAGAGGCAAAGGCGCCTTGCAGGTCCTTCTATGGAAGAGTGCAACACGTCACGGAAGGCGTAGCATAACAAGTGTTCAATCATCCCTCGTCCAGTGATACGACTTCATGACCGCTCCGGAAAATTGGGACCGGTCGAAAAGGGGTCTCACCTGGCCCCTGTCAGCTTCGCTTTGGGTACAGCGCGAACTGAAGGTCTCTCGCTAGATGATCGTCTCTCGGTGAACCTTCTACAAATTGCTCTCCGGCAACAAGACGAGGCACCCGGGGAGGGCATCGCTTTGGATTGGTATAATTGCAGATTTCGGTACGCGGTACAGCATTTTCCACGGCTTCTGCCTTTATCTATGGTTGATCATGACGTCATCACGTGATGATTGCAGTGCAGACCATGGCCCGAAATGAACCCACCATCATCCTGCCAAGCCACACGAACGAGCGGGGCAAGGACATGTATATAACGTCGGGAGTCTTGGATCGATACTTGCCTCTTTCTACGGCAACTTGACTATCCTTCTTCATACCCTTACACGCCACCATGGGATTCTTCGGATCATCAGCGCCTGCCCAGCTCCACCCCGTCAACCCGCCTTTGGGCGTCTTCCCCAACTATTGCGTCAACCACCCGACCACCCTCGTCTTGAAAGAAAAGGCATTCTCCTTCTCGGGTGTGAGTGATACGAGATACTCTCGTCCGAACCACTCTGATCTCAGGACAACTTCTCGGTCAAGGACCAAAACGGCGTGCCCGTCGTCAAGTGCTCAGGCAAGGCATTGTCATTCAAAGATCGAAAAGGTGTGTGTGCTCGGTAGCGAGATGATCACAGAGTTGGGACTGATCGGCAGTCATCACCGACGCGAATGGACGTGTCTTGTTCCATATCCGAAACAAACTCATCGCGATTCACAAGACCTTTGTAGGAGAGGACGATGCGGGCAACGAGATCTTCCGGATCAGGAAGCGCATGGCAAGTGAGTCTATCGATGCCTTGCACCTCGCTCGTTGCTTCAGGCTGCGTACTGACCGGCAGTCGGGACCAAGATGCAGGCGACGTTCCGAAACCACTCGACGGGGCAAGAAACCACCATTGACCTTCGAGGAGATTTCTGGGGTGGATCGGGTGATTTGACTGTCGAAGGAGGACCGACTGTCGCCCAGATCACCAGACAAATGATGAACATGCGCGAAGTATTCACAGACAACCAGACTGTGAGTCCCTGTCATTCCTCCGTCTTGTCACTGAATCCTGACCGCCGCAGTACTTTGTGACGGTCGCGCCCGGTGTGGACCTCGCTTTGATGGCGGCCATTTGCATCTGCTTCGATGAGGCGAAGAACGAGGACAAGTGACCCGGGGATTGAGACGAGCTTTGTGATATGTACATGTAGTGTAGTAAGGAGACATATACAACGGCGATGCCTACGTTATTTCTGGTCCAAGATGAGTGTATCTGATCGTCACGAGACTTGTAGGGGTTCATCCCACTTTGGCGCCTACAGGCATTTCCAGTGGCTCACAAAGCAGATGACCGAAATCTCCACCATCTTGTGCACATGTCCGCATCGTGCACATGATCTCGGGCCATATCTCGGCTTTGTCGTCCAATTGAGTAGCAGAGCGGATCAACAACGATTCAGTAGGGTCGGCGACCGGGCTCCGTAGGCCTATAAAGGTAGAAACTCAAGGCGATGTCTGCAGCGAGATTGCCTCCACCCTTTCAATCCCTCATAGTGATAGTGTCTGCTCATATGCATCACCCATCTCCAGCTGACGCACCATGCTCCTCTTTCGAGCGTTCTTATGGACTTTTCATCGCGGAGGTGGAGGAGAGACCAGGCTAGACGGTGACGACCGGCCCGGATACTATGGGACCTCCACATTCGGCGTCAATTACGCCGGACAACATGGGGTACTCCGATGGTTCGCGGGGGAGAGAAGGGAGGGGGTGGAGGGTTCATTGCATGGCTTTAGGAGCTATGATGTATATAAGCAAGGCCGACTGGTCAGATTCGGGTTCCCCGAAGGACGGCTCGACATGCTTCTTCGTTACTGCATTATCGCAAGCAGCTTGGCCAGGCTCGTTTCCGGTCTAGGAGAGCCCCGAGTGATCTCGTTCCCTTCGGTCGATGCCGTTGAAGAACCAACCAATATATTTGGCAGCTCCGGCCAGAAGGCCTTTTGGACAAGTGGGAAGCAAGATGACCACTTCATCATAGCCTCGAAGAAAGACCGCCGCGCTCTGCCTATCCTCCTCGACTCGCATGACGACATTGCGATCCACATTGCCGCGACCACTTTTGCCGATGATATAGGTAGAGTCACCGGAGTGACCCCAAAGTTGCACAACGATACCTTGCCGGACGGACATGGCAAGGCTATCATCGTCGGCAGCGCGGGGTCGCGTCTCGTGTCTAGACTCGGGGCCGACCGGTATGACGGCTTGAAGGGCAAGTGGGAGAGTTATGATGTGCGGATCAGGTCGAAACCTCTGGACAGCGTAGACGAGGCACTGGTCGTCGTAGGCAGCGATAGGGTGAGTACCGCTTGTTCGTAGACGTGGCAATCGACTCTGAAAGTACTGAGCAAGGCATGACTGACCCGTCAGCGTGGCACGATCTTCGCCCTGTACACGCTCTCCGAGCAATTCGGCGTCTCGCCTTGGCACTTCTTCTCCGATGTGCCAGTGAGGACTCAACCCGCTATTGCATTCACCAAATCGGCCGTCCTGGAGCATGGAGAGCCGACGGTCAAGTACCGAGGCATTTTCATCAATGACGAACATCCGGCCCTGTGGGGCTGGGCGCAGGAGTACTTCAAGAGGCAGCCATGGGAGGCGGCGTTCCAGACTGACTTTTACGAGAAATGGTTCGAGATGATGCTCCGCCTCAAGGCAAATTACCACTGGCCCGCGAGTGAGTGCAGCGGTCCTCCATGGGCTGACTGGTAACCCATACGGGACTAGGACTGTCCATAGCTGACGTTCCTCAGTGTACGTATCAATGTTTGGGGTGGACGGACTACCGGGTGTGCCGGACAAGCCCATTCCGGGACCAAACCAGGTTCTGGCCAACAACATGGGCATCGTCATGGGGTTGAGCCACCACGAGCCTATGGACAGGACCAAGCCGGAATGGGACAGGGTCAAAGTCGGCCCATGGGATTGGACGAACAAAGAGGTTCTGGTCAAGGTGAGCGAGTCCTTGCTGACGAGATATAAGTCTTGCGGCCCTGAACACACTCACACGAACAGTGCTGATCCGAAGCATTGGACATATGGTGCCGAACGTGCCAAGGGGCGGGAAGTGCTGTTCACCATGGGCATGAGAGGGGACGGAGACGAACCTCTCTCTGGCGCTAGTATCGGTCTGGTCGAGAGTGAGTCTTGATCTCTTTCACTTAGATCAGAGACTTATGAGAGACATCACCGCCGCTCAGTTGGACATCCTCGCTTCTGTCTATGGCGAGGATGCCGTGCCTGCCATTCCAAAAATGTGGGCAATGTACAAGGAAGTGGCGGATTACTACGAGCAAGGAGTAGGTTTTGACGTAGACACTCAGAGATACCCTGTTAACCGCCCAGCTCAAAGTGCCAGACGATAGTGCGCTCGCGCATCGAAACTAAAAGGATAAGCTGATCTATCAGTCACCATCCTCTTCTCTGACGACAATTGGGGCAACATCATGTCCGTGCTGTCCCCGGACCGCCCGCACAAAGCTGGAGCCGGGGTATACTACCACGTCGATTGTCCGTAATGATACATCGTTCCGCGCGCGGAGAGGCTGACAGGCAGACGTCGGTCTCCCCAGGGCATACAAATGGATCAACACAATCAACTTGGCGAAGAGTACGTCTGTCCCACGGAAAGAAGTATGTCGAGGTACACGGGCCTAACTATCAGCGTGGGAGCAGATGAACATCGCCCGAGCGTTCAACACCACCGAGATCTGGATTGTCAACGTCGGCTCGCTCAAACCCCTCGAGATGCCTACGGAGCATTTCTTGTCTTTGGCCTACGACTTCGAGGCGTGGCCGCGCAACTCTGTCCGCCGATTCCACGAGGAATGGGCTGGGAGGGAGTTTGGACAGACGGTCAAACATGAAGTTGGCGATATCATGATGCTTTACGGTGTACGCGGTGTCTTGGACTCACCAAGATAAGCCCTTGCTGACCGCAGCGGTACGCATCTAGGTCGAAGCCCGAGTTGCTCAATGCCACGATCTGGTCTTTGACCAATTACGAGGAGTAAGTGCTGGCAGTCACACTGGCTCTCACCTTGTTCCAATGGACCGGGCTAATTGTAGAGCCGAGAGGGTCCAGCACGAATGGGACACTCTTGCCGCTAGAGCGAAGAAAGTGCACGACCACCTGCCAAAAGACACCCAGCCAGCCTTCTACCAACTCGTCTACATGCTGTGCGAGATGCAAGCCAACATCAACAGGCTCTATATAGCAGGTGAGCACAGCCCGCTCTCTGTGTGCTCGCTTGCCACTGCTCACCCTCGCAGCTGGCCGGTCCAACCTTTACGCGCTGCAGTCGCGTAACGCTGCGAACGTCTACGCTCACGCCGCTCTGGACGCCTTCAAAAACGATGCTCGTCTCACCGAGGCGTTCCACTCGCTCAACAACGGGAAATGGGATCACATGCTGGATCAAACGCACATCAACTGGTACGATTGGCTCGAACCTGACCGCGACTCCCTTCCGCCTGTATCGTTTGTGAACCCGCACC